CAGTGACTCAGGGATGTAAAAGAGTAGAGAGAGTAGGATGATAGAAAACCTCCGTAAGTCCCAAATCTAAGAACTCCAACACACTTCCAAGAACTTAACTTCTCTAAACCCTCAGTACTGCTCACTAGAAAGTCCTGAATTGGGGATGAGCAAACCATGAGATATAGGGTCTCCAGTTTGCACCAGGTGCTCTGTTAATATTTTTAATGAAGAGCTGCAGAAGCAGGATAGGAGCTACAGAGACCTCAGTGGTGGGCTGAGGTCAAGGAACAAGGAGATCAGAATTTCCTGGGCCAGACTGGTCTTAGCAGGATGATAGTGCTGACTGCAGCTTTATCTTGTGCAGCTTTCCCAAGAGATGACAACTTGGAGAAAAAGAAGTATGAGTTTTCTTGACCAGAGGAATTGAAAGACATCTTACGGCAGCCCTGGACAAAAAAAATAAATAAATTAATCTCTGTGGCAGAAAGGCAAGTCTGAGATAAGTCCATGGAAAGGCCTCTGAGGATGTAGGATTCCTTCCATTGGCATCTGCTCATTTTGAGGGTTTAGCTTTTTCACTAGAATGTGCAGAGATTTTTTGGTGAAATTTCTGTCTGTTTTGCAAATTGCTGATGTTGTGTGTGACATACTGGTACCCGTTAGTGGTTTTAAGGAGTTACACACTTCTACTGGGGTTCACACAAAATCTGAGGAAGACACTTGGCTTTTCTTTTATTTGCACAGTTTACAACTACTTAGGTAAATTCTCCCTCCTCGTTTTGACTGTTTGTGCATTGCATGTGTCCCACACTCTCTTCCATACCTTGTCACAGGGCAACTGGCTACTGACAGCCCAGTGCCATGCCAGGATTGGGCTAACAATTAAACAGTGTGGACAGTGTGTAGGTTCTCTGGCTCTATTTCACACTATCAGTCTCAGTTTCTCAGAGCCAGTTTGGATTCTACCATTTTCTGATTCCATGATTATAAAATAGCTGTCTAATGTAGGAACTTTGTCAGGCTCCCACGTTTTGCATTTAGTTTTAGTGTTTCACTCACAACACCTGCTATGAGTTGCCATAACTTCATGAATCAGTCCTGGGGTGCCTTCAAGTTTCCTTAACAACAGTATTTCAGACATTGTCATGATGGATCTACATTTGAATCTGTCAGTTCTTTTTTTTAGACAGGAACACTTCTGGAGCTGGGCTGCTGTCTGTAGATTCATATGTTTCAAAGGTACTTTGCAAAAGAGATGGCATATGTCAGGTACTTGGATAGTAGAGTAGATAATTTACTAGTACATAATTGAGTAGAACCAGTTTTTGATGTCCTAATTAGTGAGTATTTTGCTCTACATAAATTTGGTACATATCACTTCAACCACTAAGTGCTGTTTTTCAGTAGTACCGGATTAAAGCAGAACTTATGCTCTTTCTACAATCAGAAAAACTGATTTTTGAGAGCTCTTCCATACTATTTCAGCAGCCTATACTCAATGAAGTCTACTGCAGAAGCTGAGGTTGAAGTATGAAGGCTGAAGCAAAACTGGAAAAGGGTAAAGCTCTCTGGGTATTCATCTTTTCCACTACCTTTTCCTTTCATGACATTTTTTTCAGTACAAAAACATCTGTAATCAATGGAAACAGTATGTCTGGTCAGCAAAAACAGATGTAAAGAAACTGAACTATGATGGTGCATATGTGTTTAGCAAAGAACTCGTCTAATAGAAAGAAGATAGCAAGATGTCTAGGCAGTGCTAGAGTGCTGCATTGTATTTTCCTTGATATACAATAATATTTCCATTGTTTTTTTAACAAGTAGGTAAATCACTACTTCTGCTTTATAAATTCTAAAATGAGTGGACTCTGAATTCAGTGGGACTTCCTCCAGCTGCACTGTACCCCATGGCAAGTCTCTGTTTGGTGTTGGTTTGGTGTGACCTTTTTAGTGGCCTCTTTAAATGTGAGTACTGCTGTTCCATCCACCTTTTTGTAACATGTAGACCTTTCCTTCCCCTGCATACTCTGGCTGTTGACCTTCTAAGCTTGAGGGAAAATGTTTTTTAATATGCTGTACCATGCATACTATATTCATCCAAAGGAGTATTTTTTCTTGTTTGAGATTCTTTTTCCTATAGTGACAATATACCTCAGTCATTATCCGTTTATTTCTTGTCTGCAATGTAGATAAGATTGCTTGATGAGAGAGAAATTAAGTCACTTACAGAAATGGATTTGCCAGAGTGAACTATGCAGTCAGGGCCATATTCATATCAGTGAAGGAATACATTACAAGGCAACACACAACCTTATGCAAAGCACAGACTTTGTCATCCACAGGCAGGAACAGCACGTTGGTCTTAATCTTAAAAACGAGGTGTTAAAGACAGGATGCATAGGGTAATGATGGAAAAGGATGGCATTACTCAAGTGTCATTACACATCAGAGCTAATAAAATAAATATTGGATCCATGAGGGCCTTGCTTTACTGGTGTCACAGACTGAATATTTTAGAATCAAAGGAGGTTTCTCTAAGTACTTGAATTTTGGTTTGTATTCCAATTATCGCACATGAAAAAATCTTATAATCTGTTTCTTATTCATAACATGTGGGAAAGACACATCCACTGTCAGTTCCCTTTGTAGTCAGTCAAGCAGAATATATACTTTTAGGGTATACCTGACTTATTTGAAACAGTGGAATTGCATGAATTACACCCCAGAAAAGCCTATTCTTGCACAGAGACTATAAAAGGAGACGTGACAACTAGCACTGATATAATAACCTCCATTATAGGTGTATATTTGGTCCCATAGATTCCCTTTTCCTATGAATCTATGAAAAACAGAAACCAAACCCAGGCTGTCATCTTAAAACAGTTCTCATAATTTGTGCTAAGCCATCTCTCAGGTAGAGTAGGTTTGAATCATACACTCTAGTTTTTCACTTCCTTTGAATCACTCAAGCAAGTGAGATCTTTTTCTTGCATTAAGGTATATTCATCACTTCTAATGTGCAACAACTTCTGATAGTAAACATGCATTTGTTCTGTATCATCCCATGAAGCTGAATGACTCTGTAGTACTCCCAAACAGTTGCTTAGTCATTGTTTTACCATGAACAAAACATGTTCTTTCTCTTCCTTGCATCCTCTAAACCAACCAACCACCCCCTGCCCCAGCAACAGAGGGTTACGACTCAGGAACATGTAACTGCATTTGGACCTAGTATTTTGTGTCAGCTGAGCTAGGGCAACCACCTCAGTGTTTGGCCTGAGAAAAGACCAGATGGTGTAAATTTACACTGCTTTTATTGAGGGTTGAGCTCAATGCAGTATCTCCTACCTGCCTCAGTGATGTGTAGAAAATAACCACAGCTCAGTTAATGGACCAGAACTTGTTGGACTATCATGTTGATCTACTTGTTTTGATCATGAGTCAATGCCCTAAGAGGAAATTCTCTTGAGAGAGAACAATTATCCTCATGGGCTTGAGTATGTCGCTGCTTCAGGGTTTTTTTGCTACTGTCCTGCACTGATTGCTGAAATACCTATTTTGCTGTCTGTTATTACTCAGGCTTGTTCAGCATACTGGATTTCACACTCCAGTTCTCTCTGAAGACTAGTGTTCTAAATTGTTTTCCTCTAGAGAGGGATTAGGTTGCCTTTTCCAAAATAAAATCCCACCTTCTGGGGTTACACTAACTGTTCTAATCTCCTTCATACTCGTTTTTTTGGCTATGCAATTCTCCCTAATTTGTCAACATCTTCAGGAAAAACAATGTTGCCTACTCCACCATTCCAGATTCGTAATGGATGTTAAATAAAACCAGATTTAATACCAACTAATATAACACCCCTGCAACAATTGACTTTCTCCAGGTTGATATAGTATAGTGAATCCAATTTACTTGTCACTTTTAATTTGGTTTCATTGCAAAGCAATGAAAAATAGTTTATTGACTATGTGCATCTATAGATAGTTTAATCACCCTCTGTTTATTACTTCTGCAATTTGACAAATGTTACTATGTTCCTTGTTCTAAGGGTTTGTAGGTTTTGTAATGACAAACACTTGGCATATGCAAACACTAATGCTTCATTTCCCAACTTCTACTCTTCAGAAGGAAAGTAGTTAGTACTTTTGCATAGAATCCTTTCTTTTTTTTTCTTTACAAGCACAGAGTAATGTACATTAAGTGACATATGAATGCCTTTAGAGGAACAAAGATCTTTAATTAAAGAAATCCAACCATTATTCATGTAGGGCATTAATAAATTATGATGGGTGCTGATCTCAAACCATCAAAGAAATTTTCTTTGGCTAAAGTAATAAAAGATATGAAATAACCTATGACTGTCAAGTTGTAAAGACTTTTTCTGTTGTTTTTGCTTCTTTACAGGTAAGTCTTGACTCTCCCCTTTCAGTGGTGAATATTCAAACTTACTGTGTCAGGCCAGTCAGAAAAACTAAGTTGCTAGAAGCTATTTTTTTAAATCAGAGAAACATATACTATGGATCTTTGTTGTCAAGAAAGAAAAAACCACAACTGTTGCACAAAACTCTCACAATGAAGGAAAAGAGGCAAAATGGCTTACGAAAACCAGTAACCTTATAAAGGGCTGATAGATTGCTCTGATTTTGATCTACATTAATGAGTCAATATATATAATTACATCTAAAGCTTGCAGCACTTCTTTGGGACTACCAGAGTTTGCTGCAGACACCACACAAACTATTATGGGGTAAAAGGTCTGGAACTGCCCTAGTTTTACCCTTATACAGAGATGGGACCATTGACATTGAAAACACAAAAAAGAATGTACAACAAACTGCCAGATTTTGCCTAGGATACTTAATTGCAGACACACTTTTCCAGAACCAGTGGTGTCACCTCCCGCAACATGGAAAATAATTTCCAATTAGCACACAAGGATGTAGTGAGTATATGTATGTCTCATGGTTTAGAACCTTTTACACACATTTTTGTAATTGTACAGACTTTCCAAACTTACCTCCTCTATGGATAATCAAAGAAGTTTCACTTCCAACAGGACATTCTTTAAGTATATCCACTACTTCTGCATGGCTCAGGTTCTGTACATTCTGCTGGTTGATCTCAACAATGAGGTCACCTTCACACAAACCAGGACATCCCTGAATGTCTAGAATTTGCTTCACCCTCTGTCCTGTAGGACTGTCTGCTATAGTGAAGCCAAAGCCCTGGGCCCCTTTCACAATAGTTAAGGTCATGAGTTCAGCTTGGGTGGCCCCAGAAGAAGCCATTGATACATTATCATCATGGGCAGGTGGTGGGAATGTGCTATCAAGCTGACTATCTGCTGGAATGGAGTGCAAGGAGTGTGGTGGTCGATCTGTTACGTCTGGAACAGACTGAGAAGTCCTAGAAATGTATTCCAAATAAGTTTCATAGTTATGTCTTCCATTTACCACTACCGGAGGCCTCTCCATTACTGCAAGGGGTGGCACCATGCTGTTGGCAGGATCTTCAGGATCAAAGGGCAAAGGGTATCCACGACATAGCACCAAGTTGACACTCTGACCAATAGGAACAGACTGGAAGAGTTTGACTACATCTGCGTGAGTATGTCCAAGGACACAAACTTCATTAATATAGACAATCACATCACCTAGAACGAGAAGAAAAGACAGTGACAACATGAGACAACTTCAGTTACTGTATATGCATTGCATTTTTTAAAAACTGAGATGGAAGTCTACTAAAAAATACAATAAATTCAATCAACATACTGACTCAAATAGTGGAAACAAAAAAGTAAACACTGCCTGCAAGCAAATGCAACACAAAGAGACAATGACAGTACCAGTTATTTTCTGTGGGAGCTCATAGCTAGAAAATTAAGCTGGATCCACACCTATACCTTTTCCTAACATCTCTCCTCATCTTTCCAATTCCTATCAGTGTAGTCCCCAGATTAGTATTTTCATAATGTACAATGGTAGATTATTTGAGTGTGTGTTGTGAAGCAATACCATTGCTTGGTGAAGACTAAAAGGACAAAAAAAAAAAAAAAAAAGTAAGCACTCGTGGACTTAGGAATCAATGAATAGGAATGCAAGACAGTGCATGTATGTGCATAAGGAAACACTTTTTGCATTGATCATGTTATTGATATTTTTCTGTCAAATGTCATTACCTGCCACCAGACATTCAGAATTACTACCATCATTTCCTATTCTAGGCATGAACTATGTATCTTGCATAACATAGAGAGGTTCAGTGGCATTTTATTGTAGCCATTTTGGTTCAAGGACAAAGACAGGACAAATTTTTTAGGTAGGTATAATAGCTTTTTATTAGAAAAATCTAGACAAATGTCTGAAAATCAGTTTAATATTCCCATCTAACCAGCTGGACAAATCAAAAAGAGATACTACCTTTACCTTCAAATCTTGTCTCATGTATAGCAGAGCTACCAGTCAAGAGCATATATGAAAGCAAAATACTTAAGTCAACAGGCTATTTATGGGTCTCCATATTGCTCATGCACCAACTAGCTACTGTTACTGAAAAGTTCAGAAATAAATTCAAGTTCCTTCTTGTTGTTAGATCCACACAGTTATAGCCATATTAAAATAAAAATGTGTGATCAGCACAAACAATATTCAGAGTAGTTTGATGACCCACAATCAGTTTTCACTTTCATAAAGCAGTTTGCATCTTGACAGAAAAGGAGAAGCATATTTGGCTGGAGAGCTTCAAAAGTTTAACTGTTTTTCTAAGTGAAGATCATCTTATTATCCTGCCATTAATTAGGACACTGAGATGTCTACAAGGCACACAGTTCAATAATTGACCCATCTCAACACAAAGCTTTTCAAAGGTATTTGAAAATGCAGCAATATGATGAGAATGATTCAGGCAGGATAAGGTGGTTTGGGTGGAATTGCTTTAAGTGTATTTATGAAATTATGCCTTTCAAGTATTTCTATCAAGAGATCTAATCAAGCAAACTGAGGAAAAGAGCATCATCAAGATGCCAGTGCAAAGGCTGTTTCTATGTGACACAAAAGGCAAAAGCTGTTTCTGTGTGAAAAAGAAATGGTCAATTCCCACATGATCAGCCTGTCTAACAGCCTGGCAGTAGTTAATTGCACATGCACAAATTGTGATTCAGAGAAAGATTTCTTCAGAGAGTGTCTAGGGAAAAAATGCTAAGGGAGCTTGTTTAAATGATTATGAATATTATTCACATAAACCTTAGGAGCTGCAAACGCCGTCTTAAATGTGTATCATAAACAGATTTTAAAACATAAGCAAAAACAGTAAGGTCACCTCACAGGCAGTGCTGAAAGAAATCCAATGTTTTTTTTTTTCCCTCAAGCAGCTGGGAGCAAAGCACTTTTCAAAAGTCAAAATTTAAAAGAAAGGAAAAACGCACCATACAAATTATTGTGGCAACGGCTGCAATTCATTGTGATTTGCTCATGCCCTGATAGAGAAAGGTCTTACCTGCACTCCCATCCCTGGTTTCCACATTAGCAGTGAGGCTGACATTGCTCACAATAGGACTGATTCTGTTGAACTGAGACCTCTTCACTGCATGCTCCCGTTTCAGTAGCTTATGCCTTAAGAGTAACCTTGCGACTTTTTAATCCATGCAGTCTTTATTTCCCTGAGTGCTGGCAATGCAGCTATGTGGTGGGAGGAGACCAATCTGTTTGTTCATCCTCTCTTACAATACATAAGCAGGGTGAAAAAAGAAAAATGTGTTTTTTGTGGGGGGCAAGTAAATCATTGCCTGTTTTCTCCCCTTCACTTTATGCATTTGCACAGGAGTAGGCATGGTATAAAACTTAAACCAATATGGTTTTCATATATCAGAGAATCAGATAAACGAGTTGCCATTACATAGGTCTCTGGTGAAGAGAAATTAGCTTATGCAAAAGGAGTGTAGTCAGGAAATATACAGGCCATGTATCCCCTTTTCCCAATCACTAAAGGGGCAAAACTGAGTGTTAGAAGGTCTTGGCTAAGGATGTTTTCAAACAATGACCTTGCACTATCCCTTCACAAAACAGCATAAAATTCTTCAGCATTTCCTGAATCAATATTTTTAAAGTTCATTGCAGTTTCTGAGGTATAACATGAATAGCATGTCTGGGCACACTCTGAAGCTGTGACTCACTCACAGCTGAACCGTTTGGGACACATATGCTGCACTGTCATATGGAGAATGTACAGCTGAAGGTTGAGAGTGATGAGCACAATGGCATGAGTTACTAACTTCAGCCCAAAGAGAGGAGCTACAGTGGTGTTACACCAGGAAAAAACAGAGTTTCAGACCACAAGACAGGAAGGAGGAATAAAAGGGGTTAATAATCAGAAATCCTTCAAATTAATCTGTTGACTGTAGTTTCTCCAAACATAACTCATTTTCCAGGCTGAGAGTTCCTCACTGCTGACACAGAGAGAAGTACCCAGCACTTGGTAGGAAGAGAGAGAGAGAAGTTAAGAGCATTACAGAGCCAGAGCCATGCTAATGCAAAGTTCAAAACCTCTCTTCTTTAGGAAAACTCCCTGAAAGGTTCCTGTAGCATCTTTTCTGCCTGTTCTCTCCTGCTGCTTCTAATAATAATGGGTGCATATGGGCAAGCATAATAGCAATCCACTTTATAATTCCTGTCTGATTTTCTGAGCAAGCCATAGTCTGCCTCCAGAAATCACAGTTTCACAGTGAGTGGGTATCTTTGAAGTTATGCAGAACATTTATATTAAGCATCAAACTTTGCCTGACTTTTAGAATTAAACTTGCTAAAATGACTGCAGCTTGCTTACGGAATGAGAGAGGCTGTCAGGGATCTCTGGAGGTCACCTTGTCCAAAATCCCTGCTCAAGCAGGGTCTCCAAGAACCAGTTGCCCAGGATTATGTCTAGGTGGCTTTTGAAAATCTCCAAGTAGGTAGACTCCACAGCCTCTCTGGGCAACCTGTGCCAGTGCTTGGTCAGCCTCACAGTAGAAAAGCGTTTTCTGATGTTCAGAGGGAGCTTCCTGTGTTTGAGTATGAGCCCATTGCCTCTTTTCTGGGCAATGGACATACTGGAAAGAGCTTGGCTCCATCTTCCTTGCACAGGTATTTACATAGATTGGTTAAATCCCCCTAAGCCTTCTCCTCTCCAGGGTGAAAATCTCTACTTCAACGTCCTTGCTATCAGGTGTTCTCCCCAATTTCATCTTCCACACCAGCCTGTACAGAATCTACACACACCATACCAACCTTATCTTACTTGAGACTGTCTGGGGACGAGGGAGGAGAGGAGGGCTGATCTATGGAAAAGGCATTTGAGTTAGACTCTCTAGTGAAGTGGCAGGTTTGATAGAAACCCAGTAGAGCAGACAATAGATACCTTGGCCTACACCTCAAACATCTACACTGTCACAAGAACAGATTCTTCTGTCTGGCAGCCAATGTACAGATTCAGGACTGAGTTGAAGAACGTTAGAGAATACTGACTGCAACCAAATTTGTTAAACTGTCTTAAAGCTCTGTCTCCTTTACTTAAGTTTCTTGCATTTAACTGACAAATTTAGGAACATGAGACTGGAAGGGCTTCCTAGATGGCTGAACCTAGTCCCCTGTTGTCAGATACAACACAGTATGTTACACTTGATGAAATCTGATGTCTTCTTTACAGAAACAATCATGAAGTCCCACAATATTTCACTTATATAATTAGTTTGGTTTGCATATTAAAGTTACCTGACCATTTGTCATGCAAGGTTAATGGACTGAATGCCTGAATGTTTGATTAAAGATTACATTTTGTTACCTACATATTTCAATGCAAAAAAAGTATATCTAAATTATCATTATCTGTTGCAAGTTTAGTGACTGGGGAAGAAATTTGTGACCTTCAACATCTTTTAATCACAGATCCTTTTTTTCCATTCTTCTCTACAATAATGGTGCAGAGGTAAATCTGACATCCTAGGGATTTTCCTCAAGCATTAATTCTGACAAAAATACTTTTATCTTGCTTGAAGTGCTTGATCCAAACAGAATCTGTTTCATCACAAATTATCCCAAAGTTTCATGCACTGCTGCCAACTCCATTTCCCTCCTTTCTGAAGAAACTATACTATTCAGTGACTCCAGTTATTTTTTCTGCTAAGTTTTTATTACCCCTAGATTCTCTGCATAGATACCTTGCACAAGTAGGTAAAGTTCCTCTGTTTTCTTATCCATGTTCCCACTATGTGTATACACATACTTTACTTATTTCTTCTTATTATTACTGTTTCTTGTGCATTTGAGCTCCTGGCTGAACATCAGTGAACTGAATTGTCTACTGGACTGCCCTTATTATTAGGATTCACTAAACTCTGAAGTCTGAATGCAGAGGGAAAAATAAGATCTTTGTTGTTAATCAACAATCCCATTTGAAGTTTAGTGGAAATGTCTCCATTGTCTCTGTAGGATTTTGGATCATGCTATTAGCACTAGGTTAATGTGCTTAAAATATGAGAGAGTGCTGTGATTTGGTGGGAGGCAGAGACACCTCTGCTATCTGCCTGCCACTAGCACAAGGCAACAGCAACAGAGCTAAAACCAGCCCATGGTTTGGGGAGTCAACACAGGAAGCATCAGCTCTGCAGGACTCAGGCTG